TCCCTTTTTGCTCTTTTTCTCTCTCTCCTCGCAGCACTCCTTTGGGTAGTGTTTGCTGTAGATGGTTTTTTTTGTAAATAGTGAGGTTCAGAGAGGTGAAACAGGGGGAGAAGTAAGTTATTTTCTCCAGGTGATAGAATGGTTAGATAGCTGCAGATCAGTTATCAGAATGAATGAAAGAAGGGGAACATTTTTATTGGATGCAAAGCTGACATGGAAATCGGTTGTATCTAAGTAGTATCAAATCCTGGGTTTAAGTTGTCTTCAGGCTTTCACGAAGTTCTTTTTTCCATTGTAGCAACTCGCTGCATTCTTCCTGGAATCTAAGACATGTTGATGAACTGTACTATGAAGTATGTACTATGCCACAGATGAACATGAACCATAATTAGAGACAATAAGGTGCTAGGTCTAGTGTTACATCAAGTCTATACATTTTATTTGAACACTGTTCTTAGAACCAGGTGTAGTTCTATTCTATTTTGTTAGAGCTTATGGAGCTATGTAAATTTACAAAGAAAATATTGGCTTAACACGTACGGTCTCATAAAAGTGTCCTGGGAACTGCTTGAAGGAACCGTGTAAACAAGGCAATGGCCATACTATTGCACTAAGATAACCCTGTGCATAAGGCAGGAAGCAACATCTTCCCCATCAGGGGGAAGTACAACTGGCAGTGATGCCCATCGAATAAAGGAATGACACTGGGAGCAAGTGATGGATCACCAGAGGATGTGTGTACTGGTTATTCACTGAACATGTGGTCTGGGGACCACTGCTACAGGCTCTCAGACCTTGGCACAACTGAAGCCATGTTAGATGCTCCGAGGCATCATCCTGACCTAAGAGCCCATCAGAGAGACACCTACACCTGCCAAAATGAAAACAAAAAGCTAAATCTCTGTAGTTCATAGTTCTGAGAAAGCCCCTAAACGTACTAGTCTTGCTTTTTGGCTTCTGTAGCTTTTAGGTGCTAGTTTTTAAAGTCTATTTTATTTGGGGTTCCCTAAGCCTCTACCTCCCTTCTCACCCACTAACCCTAGGTAGAAGAGAAAGAAGGCTAGAAGGAGTAAGGGACATAGACCTCTTTAGACTTAGATCCTTGGGACAATTCCAGTCTTCATAGTCAGGCTATCCAGCAGTCCAGCTAACCAGCAAACGCAACAAATGCAGCAGCAGGACAAACCAACAGCAGCCTTCTTCCTTCTCCAAGCCTCTCCCCGGAACCGCCTTCTCCTCTTCTCTGTGCTCCGGTATTTATACTCTCTCAGAGTCCTCAGAATTAAGCTAACTGCATCTGGCAAAGACCATGTCCTTCTCTGAGCCACACAGGTAGGTAGTGATCACCTGTGGACAAGCTAAAAGCAGCCCCATATTCCACACTTCGGATTAAAACAAAAACATGACATACCTGGGTTTTTAAACCAAAACATTCACCACAGTAGCTCTGCTTGCTAACCGTTTTTTGATGATTGAAGTGTGTCAGCCAGAATATGGTTTTTATTCATTAAAAACCCAAGAACAGTAAGGCTTGTGGTTACACAATTCCCTGGGTAGCCTGCCAAGCAGTGATAGAGACTTTTTATTGGCTTTAACAGTCCATGGGTTCTCTGAAGGAGTTACCTCGCAACACCATTGTCATTTGAGGATAAGTTAAACTGCTCTGCAATTTTTATTCACTTGTGGTATAACTTCTCTTCCCAAACAATGCCCCCACCCCTCAGGGCTCCACTGAGCTCACTATCTTTCTCTCTTAGAAGGACAAAACAAGCACCATATTCTCTTGGGAGACACTGCTTGTCTCCTCCGTGTGGGGAAGAGGATGAGGAAGGGCGTTGCCCACAGGCACTCAGAATTCTGTGCTGTCTCCAGCTGGGGTTGTGGGATGGAGAGAATGGGATTACCCGGCCTCTGCAGCCAGAGGCTTCAGGAATCAGGTATCCTGTGTAGTGCCAGAGAAGTAACTCTGAGCAAGAGCTCTTGAGTGGTGACAGGGCTGGGAGGTGGGGAAGCCATAGTTGGGGGGGGGGGGTGAAGCTGCAGTAGGACAATGTCAGGGGCCACGCAGGAGAAACATCAAAACAGCTTTAGAAGGCCTGGAATGCGGCCCACAGCCATGTTGGTTATGCCTCGGGAGGCAGACCCCTGAGGCCTGTGTCCTGAGGACTTCATGCTCCGCTTGTTGTCCTTGTGGTCACCCCATCCCTCATAATGTATGAGTTGTAGCAAAGCTGTAAGGGGGCTGCCAGCCCTCCCTGGGTAGTATCACTGCCACTCACAATAATAACACTTGATCTGTTGTAGGCTGGAGCAGGTTGATGTTTCAGTCACCAGTTTTGGAAAAAAAAAAAAACAAAAAAAAAAAACAAAAAACTTTGAAGTTTGCTCCATCAAATGGCTAAAGCTTGTTGGAACTTGTCTTGCTCCATCTAGGGTGTGTGTGTGTGTGTGTGTGTGTGTGTGTGTGTGTGTGTGTGGTGTTGGAACTTTTGTTGCTTCATCCATTTAGTACATGTGTATGAGTGTGTTTGTGTGTGTGCATGTATGTGTGTGTGTGTGTGTGTGTGTGTGTGTGTGTGTGTGATGTGTGGTGGAGCTTTTGTTGCTTCATCCATCTAGTTCATGTGTATGAGTGTGTTTGTGTGTGTGCGCGTGTGCGTGCTCATTTGTGTGCATCAATGTGAGTTATCAGCCAGCTGCCTATCTGTACTTGATCTCAGTTTACCCCTGTGGTGACAAAGCTGGTCTTTGACAGGAGTGATCATTGTGTAGGATGAGAGGATTGACACAATCTGTCACCGTGGAAGCTGTAGTATGTCACAGTGTTTCCACAGTATATCCCTATATCATTGTTCATTGAAATGGGGCCATTGGTCAGGGTTGAGGTCTCTGGCTTCTGTGACAACATCAGTATTGGATCCTCACTGGAACTCCTTTCCGTTATCCTTTTGTTACCTGTGTCATAGGCATCCTGCAGCTTTGGATCAGCAAGACTGGCCCTTTCATGCATTCCAACCTCTCACAGATGATATAGATTTCGGGATTGGCCAAACAGAGCCCTCGATCTGGTCCTGGGTAGTAGCTGAGCTGGCTCTCCCTTATCTGCACCACCAGGGTGAGTTCCTCAACACTGCTCAGGCTTGGCCACCCAATGCTTCCATTGGCAGGAGGTAGGGTCAGCTCTTCTGCTCTCACGCCCTCAGGCTGGCTCAGCCACTCCCACATCATCAGGTGCCACTCCACTGCATTGCCCAGGTGAGGTTCAGGGCCCACTCTTCTGAGTGCTACAGCCAGTGAAAGGGCAGAGCTAGCCATTCAGTCCTCAGTACCAACTCTCCCAACTACTGCAGGTGATGAGGGGGGAGGAAGGAAGCAAGGGAGGAAGGAAAGGTATCACCCCTGCACCCATGCCACCTCACAGCAAACAAGTGTATGAACCAGCTCTCCTGCACTCTCTCCCTAGGGGCCAGCTCCCCCACAGCGCCACCAAGGCCAGCTCTACTGCCCAGGTGAGATGCAGGACCCAATCTCCCACCACCAGGGTCAGCTATGTTCTGCTGTCCACACAGGTGAGGTCCAGGGCCCACTCTGGTGATCATGACCCTGGGGGCAGCTTTCCTGACTCTGGAGTCAGGGCTGGCTCACCTACACCTCTGCCACCAGAACCAACTCCACTGTGCTGTGTGGGTGAGGGGCAGGAACCTCTCTCCCAAGTGCTGACACCAGTGAAAGGTAGGGTCAGCTCTCCAGAGTGCTGCAGCCAGGGAGGGGTGGAGCCAGTTCCGAACAGCTTCTAGACATCCACATGGTCTCTGGCACGTGCCCTGACCAGGGACATCCCTGTGTTCTCTAGCGGTATCATGAGCCACAGACATTAACATCAACCCCCACCACCGTTGCTTAGCCACGGACCTAGATTTGGCCCTCAGCAGCAGCTCAGGCTGCCTCTTCACACACTCCTTCTCCACTTCCATCTCTCTCCATAATGCTCAAGCTGCTTCACTTCTCTGTCTCTCCCATCTGTCCACCCTATGGTGCTGGCTCTCACTGCAGGCTAGCCACTCAGCTGGAGGGCCCCTGGGTGACAGCCTCAGTCTGCCCTGGCTGGCTTGGCAGCAAGCAGGTGTCTATGGCCTTCTTGTGCTGTGCACCCCATGGCAGGTCTGTGGGTGGCATGGTGGTCCACAGGTCTCTGTCCTTCTTCCTCCCTCTCTGTGCTTTGTGGTGGTGGGTGGAGCTCTGTGTGTCTGTGTCCTACCTGTGCTGTGGGGCACAAGGCAGATCTGTGGGCATTTTCCCCAGCCCTCACCTCCTGATGTAATGAAACACAGATCTCTGTCTGTCTTTCTCTTCCCGTGCTGTGATGCCTGGATTTTATTTGACTTGACTTGATTTTATTTTGTTTTTATTTGCGATTGAGGAGGAAGCCAAGAAAACTCATTTCAGAGACAGAAGCTTGAAGTGAAAGGTTTATTCTCTAAGCTTTCCAGGAGGCAGCCAGTTCAGGATCCAAACTACATTCCTGAAGGGAAATTATACAGCGTATTTAAAGAATGAGATGACAAAGCAAAGGGGACTTGGGTGTGCTGTTGCATTGTTCAATCATATTTTGACCCAAGGGTTTTCCTTTGACTTATGGCAACTTGTTACAGGACAGGAGAAAAAAAATGGAGATTGTGCATGATCATGGCCACCTGATCTCAGAATTCAGGGCCTTGGTGTTCAGGCTCCGTCCTGGACATCTGGCCTGTGACCCGAAGTGATAAGGGAACAAGGGAGTGAGCGAGCTGCAAATCGGTTATATGCATTTATGACTTGTGTACCTTAGCTTAGACAAGGGCAATCTCTTGCTTTATGTTTTTACTAATTAACAGACAAACAAGAAACATCTGGAATACCACGATAGGCATTGGTTCCTGGGCCTGGGAGCATGAGCTCAGTTTGCCTCCGCCAGCGAGATGGAGCAGCTGTCCTTGGGATGGCTGGACTCAGACCACTGTCTCCTTATACTAGGCATAAAACAGCTTTGGCCACTAAGCCAGGCATCAAGCTAGGATGATCAAAGGGCTGCCAACTGCTCTGCCCCTGACTGACATAAGAACAACAGCACCAACAAGGTGTCTCTTTACTCACCGCCAGGGGAGAAGTTAATTTTTTTTTTAATAAGCTGACCAGACCAGGTATGATGAAGCCTACCTTAAAGCTAACATAGTAGCCCCCAGCACACCTTTTTTTCAAAGTTGGGAAGCAGATCCAAGGCTCTAGTTTTTCCATCCTGTCATCACGCTCTCACCCCTCCCAAATGCCAGTTTGTCTCTCCACACAACAGAGGCTCAAACTCTGTCCAGCACAGTCTGGCGAACAGGAGGAAACATCAACTGGGCATCTTCTGTGTCCTGGCCTTGCCCTCACCAGCACTGCCCAGCTCATCATCGCCAACACACTCGCTGGTTCTGCAGTTACACTGTCAACGCCTCCGATTCTGTTCTGCTGCTGCACAGGGAGTTCAGTGGTCAGGGACGCTGATCTAAATTACACGTGTGTTCCAAAGACAAGAGGAAGGCTGGAGAGAGGAATCCACCAGCCATTTCTACAACACACGCTGACCACCACTGATCCACTTGCTTTGCTTTCAAATGTGTCAGTGATTCGGCCCCAAAATCTCATCCTGACAGTAAAAGTGAGGGAAAACATGGGAATGACCCGACAGATAGCAGGCACAACAGAAGCTGGCTGTGCTCCCTAAGTGCTGCTCAGGTTGCAGCCTCATAGACAAAAGAACTAATTCCTGCTCTGAATCGCTAAGTCATGGAGACAGGTAACTGACATGACCCCTGTGACGCTGGCTATGAACTCCAGCTGATACAGGGCAACAACAATACTTTTAATGGGATCACAAGAATCATCATGGCAGTGATGACAATGGTGTGGTGTGGTGTGTGTGTGTGTGTGTGTGTGTGTGTGTGTGTGTGTGTGTATGTGTGTGTGTCTCCTTGCTGGCTGTCTTATAACTCCCTATGTAGACAAAGATGACCTTGAACTCTTTGTTCTTGCATCTCCACATCCCAAATGCCAGGATTACAGTACAGTTATGGGCCACCATTCTAAGCTTCGGCTTGTGTTTTATAAGGATTCCTGTGGGCAGCAGTGTGGAGAAAGATTGGAGTCAGCCAATACTAGAAACAAAAGGGAGTTAGAATGCTCAAAATGGAGGCCAAAGTCTTGCTGTATAGGTCAGAAGCATCTGGCCCATGCCCAGTCATTATCATAAGGCAGGTGTTTCACTCCCTCCCTGGACAGCTATGTATTGGGGTGAATTGTATGAATTTCATGTGCGAGTCTTTGTCCAGTGCCTGGGAGTGTACTTATGTTTGGAGACAAGGTTTTTAATAGACCGATTAAGTGAAAACTCAGTAATTAGGACAGTTCTTAATTCAATAGAGCTGGTCTATTGTAAAGATAAGGAAACTTGAGCACAAAGAGAGACATCAAGTATAACTGCACCCAGGTAAGAAACTGAGAAAATGAAGTGAGAAAGTGGCTGTCTACAAGGTTAGCAGAGAAGCCTTGGAATGTGAGTCCTGCTGACACATTCATTGGATTCCAGTTCCACAGAAATGTGGGAAAACAAGTTGACAGTGTTTAGGCCACTTAATCTGACAGCTCCCTAAAGAAGCACTGCTGGCACTAGGGGAACCATTTCTGGCCAATGAGGAAAGTCACAATGAGGGTCCTAGGGAGTGCTTTCTCTCTTGTTTTGTGGTAATACATGAAACAGCAATGGCACTTTGAGCTCATTCATAGTGAAGCAAGATGGAGACAGAAAGTGTCTATGACCTTGAAAACAGACACGCTGCTATGTCAGGTAAGCCTGGAGCTTTCTCTCTTTCTAGAGTTTTTATTTCATGAAGTGATATATTTACTTTGTTTTATTTTTAATTGTGTGGTGTGTGTGTGTGTGTGCGTGTGTGTGTGTATACCCATACACACTTGAGTATGGGTATCTATGGAAGCCACTGGTATTAGAGCCGCCTGAGATGGGTGCTGAGAATTGAACTCAGGCCCTCTGGAAGAGTGACATGCTCTCTTAACTGCTGAGCCATCTCTCCTGCCCCAACAGATTTACTTTTTCAAGCTACTTTGAGATGGCATGTCCATTAGTCACCACTGAATACATCCATACCTTATGAACACAAGTGTCAAGAACTGTGTGGTTTGGACGAAGCCACATGAAGAACAGATATATCGGGAGGTAGGGGCTACTCATTGGATGCCGGCGGTTAGGAAAGGCAGCATCCTTCAAATAGCCTAGATGACTCCTAGGTCAAATAAGTTGTAGGCTGTTCTATGCTTTATATACCAGTAAGAATGAGATGTATAATAACATCAAAGATTTCAAAATATAAATTTAAGAAATTCATCTAGGAATCAATGAAATAAAGTAAAACAGGCAGGGTTTCATGTATCCCAGGCTGGCCTTTAGCTCACTACGTAGACAAAGATGGCCTGGAACTTAGTAAAAGGTGTGTTGGTTTTCATTCTGTGTGAACAGTTTCTCCCCACTACAGGATCTTATGTACCACGGGCTGTCCTCCAGCCTAGCTATGCAGCAGAGAATAACCTTGAACTTCTGATCCTCCTTCCTCAACTTCCCAAGTGCAGGAATTTCAGACATGCACCACCAAGATGCTAGGGTTTGAATCTATAGCTCACATGCACAAGGCAAACATTCTACTAGCTGAACTACATGTCTCTGTTTTACTTTATTCTGTCAATCTATCTGAGTTATACTGTGAAGTCAGTCCTTTGACCATAAAAAGATATAAAAATATCAGCTTACCCAAAAGGGGACTCCCAAAGGATTGCAATGTTATCAGTATTATACTAAAGCTCCACACTGAGGACTTTGCATTGCTGAAGAAGAGGCAGTTGGTTCCATTACAGCCCAAAGTGGTACCTAAGAACTAGAAAAAGCCAAATGACAGGAAGTTCAAAGGAGCATCATCAGAGGGAGTCTTGGTGATTTAATCCCAAATGCAGTCTATTAAAACTTTCACTATGAGAAAATCAAGGACAAAATAGTAAGGGCTGTATAGGACTAACTGTATGCAAGCTAATGGTTTATATTTATTCTTAAATGATTCTTTTGTCATTTTGTTGCTAAAGTTTCCTTTCTTAACATCAGTTTTGATGGTGGGTGCCTCTAATCTCAGCATTTAGGAGGTAGAATGAAGAGAATCGGGAGTGTAAGGACATCTTCACCTAAACAGTGAGTTTGAGGCCAGCCTGGGCTCATGACATGTGCTCTCCTCCCCTAAAAAGGCTTCCTTATTCCTATGAAATGAGAATAATTATAAACATTGGGGTTTAAAATATTATCTTGCAAGACAGATACAATGGATCCAATTCCAAACGGATGCCAAATGTTGCAAATGTCCATATCTGTTTTCTTTTTGGAAAACAAACAGATCAATAATCTTCAAACCTGGTGATAGTGCCATGATATGATACTTAATATTTGTCTTTTAGAGCCTTTGAAACCCATGAGTCATCACATTACAAAGAACTATCCTGCAATAAATAAAATTTGACCCTCCAGTGGCATTCTGCCAGGAAAGGGGGAGCCTGGCAGAAGTCTGGGCTATTCCCCACTAGGCTTTTCCGATTAAAAGGAGCCTCTCCATGAGCACACTAGAGGCTCTGCAAAGAGAGCGTGGCTCATCTTGACTCTGCTGGCAACTCTGAGTTTCCGGTCAGGTATAAAGGGAAGGTAGCTGTCATTGACAGACTAAGGAAAATGGACTCCAGCTCAGGTCTGCTATAGGTCCCAGAGATGTGAGGAATTTAAAGGAAAGGAAGCAGCCTTTCAGCAGGACTACATAGGAGCTGGGACAGAGATAAGGGGAAAGGATGGTCAGGATGGAGAGTGACCTTCTTCTTGCTTTTCTCTAGACGACCATGACCCGACTCGGCTTCCTGCTGTTTATCATCGTTGCCACCACTGGGTGCAGTGCAGGTGAGTTATGTTACAGGAACCCAGCTTCCTCAGGTCACCTCTAGCTTTAAAAGTAGTCAGCACTACACTGAGTTGCTTTCAGGATCTGTGTCTCTGGGAGCCAGAAATCATGCTCTCTTTTAAAAATATTTTAATTGGGTGTAATTGTATTATTTTCCTATTCCTTTACCTTTTTCCAATCCTTCCCAATTATCCCCTACCACTACTCTCTACCAAGTAAAGTCTTCTTTTCTGTAATTATATATATATATATTATATACATATTATATATACATATACATGTATTATGTATTGTGTATTATGTATATATGTATGTATATTTCTGAACACACACACACATCCTAGTCCATTCCCACAGAGACAATGCCTTTAAGATGCAGGCTGTGTCCTCTGCCTCTTGAAGAAATTGGTCTGCAACAGTGAGATTGCTGAGCCAAGTCCTGGTCCAGATTCTGTGTCTGTGTGTGGCTCTAGGGAACTTGTGCAAGAACTGTGTCCCATCCCACTCACTCCTCAAGCTTGGGACCTTGGCTTTAGGGTCCCAGTGCCAAGTGCATGGTCTGGTTTGTGCCCAGAGGGTGTTTCTTCTGTCCTGCTCAACAAGAACTCAATGGTAGTTTAAAATGTGTAATTCCTTTTCACTGCTTTTTTTTTTTTCAATATTTTTAAGAAAAAAGTAAGTCCCTATAGGCCATCATAATGAATCTTCACATGATAGTCTTCTTCAGCTTGACTGTAGGCACTAGGGAACACAGTAAGTACAGTCCAAAACTATTTGACTTGGCAACATGGAGCTACTTACACCTCACTACCTCTGACTCTGAAGCTCTTGTTTGTTCCCACCCTTCTGGGTTCTCAGAGGACTTTGCAGAGCTGAGGCTAATATGCAAGGCTCTTCATTCTATGGTCTGTTAGTCAAGTCTCTGCACTGTCCACCTCAGGGCCCATACTTCAGGCTCATTAGGCTATCTGCATCTCTTCTCCCTACAAAGCTGGGCTTCACTTTATTCAGGACGGTAGACACAATGCTCCCCATGACTTCAAATCTCTGGTCTTTTTCCCTAGTTACAAATATTGTTGATTTGCAGAGTGAGGCTATGAGGAGTCACAAAATGAGTTTAGGATGAA